TTAAAATCTTGCTAATTACTTATAAACAGAGGTGTAAAAGAGTACATAAAAACCATACTTGAGTAAAAGTACAGATACCTTACAGTGAAAATTACTCCACTACACGTTACAAGTCACCAATTCCAAAACAACTTGAGTAAAAGTCTTAGAGTATCTGATTTTAACAGTACTTAAGTATTTTACTTATACTAAATATAGGTTCAAAGATGCACTAGTCAAAGAGACATGCCAGTCAAATACTGTACCATTGTGGAGAAGTTGCGGAAAACAGGCAGAGGCAAGGATCTATGTGCTGGTATTTCATGGAAAAACTAGAACAAACAAAAAGGCAAAAGCCAAAGGGAACAAAGAACAGAATGACTGACTGACTGGCAAGCAAGCAAGCAAGCAAGCAAGCAAGCAAGCAAACAAACAAACAAACAGTCTTAGAGTATCTGATTTTGACAGTACTTAAGTATTTTACTTATACTAAATATAGGTTCAAAGATGCACTAGTCAAAGAGACATGCCAGTCAAATACTGTACCATTGTGGAGAAGTTGCGGAAAACAGGCAGAGGCAAGGATCTATGTGCTGGTATTTCATGGAAAAACTAGAACAAACAAAAAGGCAAAAGCCAAAGGGAACAAAGAACAGAATGACTGGCAAGCAAGCAAGCAAGCAAGCAAGCAAGCAAGCAAGCAAGCAAGCAAACAAGCAAACAAGCAAACAAGCAAACAAGCGCCTTCTCGCAGTGGATGTGCTGGTTTGGGCCTCATTGCCGGCTGCAGTCATGAAGTTTACCGATTACCGAGGACTCAACAAGAACTGAATGAGCCGTGGTGAAGTTTGCCGAGGATTACCGAAGATTCTGATGAGTGAGTTGACGATACTGTGCAAGCCTGAGGCGCATACTGGAAATATGCTTATTATGACGGTTATTAATTTAAATTTTTTAAAAACCTGCAAAAACCTTTCTGTCGAGTGATGTAAATAAATTTTACAATAGTTTATTGTGCATGCATATTATATTTAAAGTTGCTTAAGCGAAATCAAGGAGTTTATAAGACTGGTTTATTCATTCTATACTGTAGACACGTAGAACATATCAGCGTTTGTGCATCAATGTCTGTAATGTGTGCTGTAGGTGTGAAACTTTTAGGAATCAATCATATCCAAGTTGCAGGCTAGTCAATATTGGTCAGTCAGTTGTATATGACATAAGGAACCGCGAATGAAACTGTGACCACAAACACCTACCATTAACTTGAGTGAATTATATGGCAATAATCAGCAATATGCTTTCACACAAATAACTTTATTTTTTGAATGTTTCAATATGTGTTGGCACAAATGACTTATTTGAATTTTTATTCATACAACATGGCACTGAGTTGTTATTAGTTAGTTATTACTAGTTATTGCTTGATGACGTCAGGAACCGATGAATCGGCTTTTTGAACCAGTTGGGCTGCTTGTGTCACCCTAAACACATGCTAGTAGCAATTCTACGTGCTATATTTTAGAAGGTGATCTTATTTTTTATTTTTTTGGAATAGATACATTTTGGCTTGGAATTTACATGCAGTTAATTTGGTAGCAACTGGCTGGACAGCTATCACAATCTTTGTTGTGAAGCTGGGTGACTTGGAAGGTCTAGCTGGTTAAGCATAGCGAAGACAAAAGCATCCAAAACAAACTGTGCTGTGCTAGTGTTTTAGCAGGCATTCAAAAAATCTTAAAGGGGTCATATGATGCGATTTCAATTTTTCCTTTCTCTTTGGAGTGTTACAAGCTCTTGGTGCATAAAGAAGATCTGTAAAGTTGCTAAGACTAAAGGAGAGATATTCAAAGAGATCCAAAGAGATATTCTCAAATCCAAAGAGATATTCTTTATAAAAGTTAAGAGTCAGCCACGCCTACCTAAAATGGCTCGTTCTAACACGCCCCCACATATCTACCTCACTATGTGGGAAGATTTGCATAACGCCGCCTAAATGTTCACGCAAAGAAAGAAGGCGTAACTTTTATTCTCGCTGTAGTATTGTTGTTGGAATGTCGTGAAGGCACTGTGTGTTTCGTTGTGAAAGCGAAACTACTTTGTTTGGCCTTCCAAAAGAGGACGATATCTGCTTTGTCATGCCTGGAGCTGATCCGTGCTGGTTGATGAGCAAATACAACAACTTTGCGCTATGGATCAGCGGATCGGCTTTCACCGTGGACGAAGCGGAGTCCAGCCCGGGGTCGTCACATGTGGTTGCCACAAGCCCTCTGGATGCTCCTTCGTCGAATCTGCCGGCCGTGCCGTTCTCAAGCCTGCCACCTCTGCTCACTCTAGGCTGCCGTGTGTGACGCTGTGTTTCGTTGTGAAAGCGAAACTACTTTGTTTGGCCTTCCAAAAGAGGACGATATCTGCTTTGTCATGCCTGGAGCTGATCCGTGCTGGTTGATGAGCAAATACAACAACTTTGCGCTATGGATCAGCGGATCGGCTTTCACCGTGGACGAAGCGGAGTCCAGCCCGGGGTCGTCACATGTGGTTGCCACAAGCCCTCTGGATGCTCCTTCGTCGAATCTGCCGGCCGTGCCGTTCTCAAGCCTGCCACCTCTGCTCACTCTAGGCTGCCGTGTGTGACGCTGTGTTTCGTTGTGAAAGCGAAACTACTTTGTTTGGCCTTCCAAAAGAGGACGATATCTGCTTTGTCATGCCTGGAGCTGATCCGTGCTGGTTGATGAGCAAATACAACAACTTTGCGCTATGGATCAGCGGATCGGCTTTCACCGTGGACGAAGCGGAGTCCAGCCCGGGGTCGTCACATGTGGTTGCCACAAGCCCTCTGGATGCTCCTTCGTCGAATCTGCCGGCCGTGCCGTTCTCAAGCCTGCCACCTCTGCTCACTCTAGGCTGCCGTGTGTGACGCTGTGTTTCGTTGTGAAAGCGAAACTACTTTGTTTGGCCTTCCAAAAATGGACACGACTAGAAATCAGTAGTTAAGTTGTTTTTACAATACTGTTCCAGAACACTTCAACCCAAATATTCAGATGTGTGCAGCACATTTTATGGAGGACCGTTTCCTGATCCTGGTAGAGTAGACTACAATGCTGGCTGTTCTGACCCTGTTCTGAAATACGTTTTTTATATTTAAAGAGTTTTTATATTTTATATATTTAAAGCAAGTTTTTTGGGCAGTGTAGAGTAGGGCTTGTTGTTTGTCATTTCTCCGATCACAAATGCAGACATGGTTTTATGTTTACGCGGCGTGATGCAACGCAACGCATTAAAAGACAGTATAAGTCATTATAATCCATAATTATGTCCCCACTGGATACAACGAATGCCTCGTTTATAATGGGTTTTCATGTTTTTGAATCGTCGCTCCGGCCTGACAGGGCATTATCGCAGTATGGTAGGGGCGTAACATTTTCGTCACACGCTTGAGGTATTCGGCCAATCATAACGCATCGGATAGCTGGCCAATCACAACACACCTTGCTTTTCAGATCAATGAGCTTTGTAAAAATCGACGCATTTCAGAAAGGCGGGGCGTAGAGGAGAAATACTGTACAGTATGTGGAAAATAATGTGTTTTTTGAACCTTAAACTGCATAAACACATTTCATTACACCAAATACACAAAATAATGTTCTTTTTAGCAACATCATATGACCCCTTTAAAATGTAATGTTTTTTATAAAGAATATACACTATTATTTGAAAAATGTTGTGAACAATGTGGGGCCTTGGAGTAAAAACGGTCTAGTTTCAAACAGATAATCAATGCTATTTTTACTTGGAGAAAGTTTACACATTTTCTTGAAAATACAATTCAAGTAAAAGGTGAGAGTATGTTTGTGGTATTGTGTGGACAGAGCAACAAAGAGAGCGGAAGAAAAAAAATGAAAAGTTTAAAAATGAAGACTCGCTGTGATTGTAAAGATCTAATACATATTTCATGACAGGGTCTGGAAGCTTCCGCAGGATAAGTCCTCCGCACCTTCCCCACGGAGTTCTCCCATCACAACGCCACAGGGTTCTAATTATCTCCCTGCTTTCTGTTAAAACAGTTACTGTTACACCTCCCTGTTAATCCCTGCCTCTGCCCCGCTGCCTTTAAACAAGACACTAATGACAATATGAGCATAGGCCAATTAGAGTATGAGCATTCGACAATTGCCTGAAGTCTTAACGTTCAATAGGAGTAAACACACCGCTCCTTTTGTTAATTCCATTTTTTTTTTGCTGTGCAACACAGCAGGAAAACAGGAGACAACTTTTCTTAGACTTGGAGATTTATGTGAAAGATTAAACAATCAAGGAAGATGCAGTGTGAACATAATTAATGTCTCTGGGTCTTGAGATGACCATTAAAAGGATTCACCATGACACTCTGCTGTTTTGGAAAGCCTTTTATTTTCTCCAAAAAAAAAAACAACAAAAAAGGTTTCCTGAGCGTGTGTGTGTACATATGATTTGTTACATTGTTAATTGATTAGATTCCAGTTGATAGTGGGACAAAATGGGGTATTTTTCAAGGATGTTGGTTGTCTTGGTTGATGTAGACTGTCTTCTTGGGTAATGCATTTGAATGCATTATCCAAGATCACCTCAACCTACATCCTTGAAAAAGTCACTTACATGGATGGGTGAGTGCAGCCACTGGTCTTCCAATACAAAAATACGTCCTTTGTTTCTTTTGTTGAACATGTAACTCTAGTGTTTCGATGGTATTATGATGCCATAGGCAGTCATTTTAAATAAATAAATACTGTAAATACATGCTTACTTACTGTTGGCTAGTTTTGGCCACTTTTCTGCTGCTCAGACTGGGAGACCAGTTAAAACTAAGAATTGAGAAAATAATAAAACAAGATTACGTCTATTTTTTATAGGCCTACCTCAAGTCTATCGATAATTGATCAGGATTTGGGAGAGGAGGGGGGAAATCAAGCCAGCCGCTCTTGCTTGGAATTTTGATTTACAGCGCATGCGCAGCCAGCACCAATCGCACACCAAAACGTCATTATTAGTCGCCTCGGCTAAAACCTGTTCGTCATATATGTACGACAGTACAGATATTTGAGAAAGTAACGTTATGTTGGGATGTAGTACGGAGTAATAAATGACATTCAGTGGCATCTTAAGACTTTATCATCTTTGAACCTGCATCAGAACTACAGCAGCGGCTCTGGTTAATGGGATCGGTGCCCGGTGCTTTATTAGTCCAGCGGCATGAATCATGGGTATGGTAATAGACGTGGTCAGAGAGGAGGGGGTCGGCGTTTCGGAGATGGAGGTTCCAGATGGGATGGAGGGGCTGGATCCAGTGGAGGATACACGAGGAGCTCCGAGTGGGACTCAAGGGAAGAGCGGGGACATGGAGGGGAACGAAGAGGAGGAGGAGGAGGAGGAGGAGGAGGAGGAGGAAGAGGCAAACATCCACCCCATTTGAAGGGTCGAGAAATAGGACTGTGGTATGCCAAGTATGGAGGAATTAAAAGATCTGAGGCAGAGAGGAAATCTGTGAGTGATGACTGATTCTTTTTTATGCAATATAGTTGAATTAGAGTTCTTGGTAATGTGTTCTATAAGATTGCTGTAAGACAGCTACAAATACATTAGTGGCTGACATAATATTGATATTTTTAATACATATTTTTTATTTATAGCAAATAATAAGTACACCAAATTTCTGAATTTAAATAATACAAATATTTAACCTTATGAAATGAATACTGAAGGAGTTCATGTATACTGTACCGGACAAAGTCATTTAAAAAAGTACTAAACGAGTTCAGTTTTGTACAAAATTGATTCTTGAGCACAATTTGTTCAAGTGTTTAAGTAAAAGCCTTTAGATCAAAAGGATTTTTAAGAAAGAGGAAGTCTGAGAATGGTTGTGTCATTTCAGAGGGCTGTTGTTCAGATGGATGAACAACGAGAGCAGCACATTACACAGCTGCTGAACTCTGTCCAGAGAGATGCAGACAGAGACGCGCACCCCTCCACATCTCAGAGCTGGAGGGGGAAGGAGGAGCCCAGTGGCCACAGGTGCAAATACAATATTCTACACTCGTCAGGGTTCACATAGTCATGGAAAGCATAGATCTATCAAAGAATTATACAATTGTGTTTTCCAGACTTAACCGAACTGTGTCTGCCTTCCAGTTACTTTGATGGAGATGATCCTCCAGAACCTCAGAACATTGTAAAAGTGCCAAAAATTGAGCCTAAAGAGGAGAAACAGGAGAATGAGGATGAGTTGGGAGCAAGTGTGAAAGAGGAACTTGATGACACTGACCTTGAGTACTTATTCCAAGATGTTGTGCGGATACCCTCCCTGGATGAGGAGCTCAAGAAAGATCTGCAGAAGAAAAAAGATAATGCTAGATACCTTGATATGCTGGTGAGACAGACAGAAATATATTTCACTAAACCTAAACACTTTTGCCTGCGACTTCGCTTTATTGTGGCATTTCCTTTTTCAGAAATTCAGAGAGAAGCTGCCTTCCTATGGGATGAGAGAGGTAAATGTCACCTTTTGTGATTGCTGTTTGTGCTTGTACAGTATCTGTATTTGTATGGATGATATTTTTGCATCTTTTTTACCGTTTAGTTTTAATGTGAAAAAGCAGTTAGCTGATCACCCAGTGTAAGTTACAGTTTTTAGTTCACTCATGCCCTTTTCTGTCTTTGTCTTACTGTAGGAGCTGGTTAGGCTAATCAATGCTAACCAGGTACTGGTAATCAGTGGAGAGACTGGCTGTGGGAAGACCACCCAGGTTACTCAGTTCATCCTTGATGACTTCATTGAGAGGGGCATGGGCTCTCTCTGCAGGGTGGTTTGCACACAGCCAAGGCGTATCAGCGCCATATCTGTAAGTACAAGATACTGTCTGCATATATATATATATATATATATATATTTAAAACCATAATATTGTGAGTTATTTTTAGAATTTAAAAGAACTGTTTTCTGTTTTAATATTTTTTCAGAATGTCATTTATTCCTGCTGATTTGGAAACATTTTGTATTATTATCAATTCTGAAAACAGTTGTGGTGATTCATATTTTTGTGGAAATCGTGATTCATTTTTTTTAGATTCTTGGTTAATAGAATGCTCACATGAACAGCATTTATTTGAAATTAAACCCCTTTTCTTCCTTTTCTTTTTTTATTTTTTGATTAGAGGAAAAAGTAAAGTAAAAACTAACACAGCTTTTCCCACCCTTCCTACATAATTTCTAGAGTAACTGTGTTCCTACTAAAGTATTGTTCTATTTTTTTTAAACGGTGTAAGGTTAAGAGTATGTACTTGTGCTTAGGTTGCAGAGAGGGTGGCTGCAGAACGGGCAGAGTCGGTGGGAGACGGGAAGTCCTCTGGGTATCAGATCCGTCTGCAGTGGTGAGTGAATCAGATCTGCAAGTCATTCTTAATCTTGGAATCACCATCCTGGTTCTAAGGAAGCTATTCTTTTATAGTGTGGCGGTGTAAAGAAATTGCGCCCCTTCCGTGCCCATATAGGGATGTCGAGCAATCAAGCGGAAATAGGGTTGGGAATCGAAAATCGAAAATCGATTCCGATTCCAGAATCGTCAGGAATCGGATACTTGTTGTCAAACTAAAATTTCGATTCCGCCTATCAATGCGCTTGCGCTATGCGCTTTTTTTTTTTTCATCTGTGAGGACCGGACCTAGTGATCTGCCAGGACATTGCTCGCTAATCTAAGTGCTCCAACATTTGGCTACATTTTCGATCAGAAGCCAAAAAAAAGCTAAGTATAATATCTGTGATAGCTAAACATGTTGCAAGACAGTGTCACCACCAACATGACAAAGCACTTTAATTTAATAGATCGTTAAAGATCGCGAACACGATTCAAACACCAAAGTGATTCTATTCCTAAATTACAATGATTCAATGATGTTCCATTCCTCAGCCTTTGACGTGTGCGATCAATGTTGTGATCACTTGGTTCGTCCGTGCAGAGTACGATCACACCAGTGTGATTTGAACATTTCAATCTGCGTTCGCGCAGCCAATGTCCTAAAGAGAGCAGCTGTCTGTCATGAATGAAACAGCTTCACAATCTTTTCAGCCACACAGTATCATTATTTCTGTGTTACAAGCATTCAAATCACAGAAGTACTGGGATAAAAGTTTATAGTTCAGATATAAACTTTGATGTCTACGGTAGTGATTAAAATGGAGTAAATCACCTTTTGAAAGTAATTTGACACTTCAAATGAAGATTTATTGATTACATTGTTACGCCAGTAGGTGGTGTAAAGGGGCTGTTAAAATGAATTTGTCTTTGAATCATACAAGTAGTACTGGGATAAAAGTTTATAGTTCAGATATAAACTTTGATGTCTACGGTAGTGATTAAAATGGAGTAAATCACCTTTTGAAAGTAATTTGACACTTCAAATGAAGATTTATTGATTACATTGTTACGCCAGTAGGTGGCGTAAAGGGGCTGTTAAAATGAATTTGTCTTTGAATCATACAAGTGATTCGTTCAAGAATGCTGATTCATCCAGTAATGGAACAAGTATATCTTGAGTGAGTCATTTAATAATTAATTCATAAATTACATATAATTTTGACTACAATGTAGTTGTATTGAACCCCCCCCTCAATTTATCCAGAATCATGCAGTTCTATTTTGCACACAGACAGCTCTTAAAGAGTTTTTATGTAGCCTGTTGATTTTTGTTCATGGTATTCAGCACAAGTACATCTTGAGTGAGTCATTTAATAATTAATTCATAAATTACATATAATTTTGACTACAATGTAGTTGTATTGACCCCCCCCTCAATTTATCCAGAATCATGCAGTTCTATTTTGCACACAGACAGCTCTTAAAGAGTTTTTATGTAGCCTGTTGATTTTTGTTCATGGTATTCAGCTCCAACAAATGGTTTGCAAAAAAGTGACACAGGATAAATGTTTGATATCATTATTTAATCACATTGGAATCGAAAAGAATCGGAATCGATTCGAAACCTAAGCGGAAATGATTAAAAAGGAAGAAAGGATAGAAAAAAGGAGGAGAGGGTAAAAGCTGACTCCAAGAGAGAGTTGAGTAAGCCACACAACTGATGCGAGCCTTGCCAGTTTTAATGTAAATAATGAAATTTAATGTAAATAATCTTTTTCGAACTGTCATTAGGGCACGCCACCGTTACAATAGTCAGCTTCTAACAGAGAGGTATATTCTTTCCCTAAGTATAATTTTGCCTGTCAGAAAGTTTTCTCTTAACTGGCTAAAAACCTAACTAATTGATGCTTTGTTTGTGCACTCAGAAATTCTTATCTAGGTTTGCCTTGTGCTCTATAAAGAAAAAAAAAAGTTTTGCTTTTCAGGTTTGTTTAACAATAATAAGACCACACTTTAATTTAAAAATGTTATTGAAGAAAAAAGTAGCAGTTGTTTAACTGTTGAATTTGAAATTTATGGTATTCAGCTCCAACAAATGGTTTGCAAAAAAGTGACACAGGATAAATGTTTGATATCATTATTTAATCACATTGGAATCGAAAAGAATCGGAATCGATTCGAAACCTAAGCGGAAATGATTAAAAAGGAAGAAAGGATAGAAAAAAGGAGGAGAGGGTAAAAGCTGACTCCAAGAGAGAGTTGAGTAAGCCACACAACTGATGCGAGCCTTGCCAGTTTTAATGTAAATAATGAAATTTAATGTAAATAATCTTTTTCGAACTGTCATTAGGGCACGCCACCGTTACAATAGTCAGCTTCTAACAGAGAGGTATATTCTTTCCCTAAGTATAATTTTGCCTGTCAGAAAGTTTTCTCTTAACTGGCTAAAAACCTAACTAATTTATGCTTTGTTTGTGCACTCAGAAATTCTTATCTAGGTTTGCCTTGTGCTCTATAAAGAAAAAAAAAAAGTTTTGCTTTTCAGGTTTGTTTAACAATAATAAGACCACACTTTAATTTAAAAATGTTATTGAAGAAAAAAGTAGCAGTTGTTTAACTGTTGAATTTGAAATTTAGTCTGTGGATTGTGATTTGTATGGCAGTGCTGTAGTAGAATGTAGATCCAGACTGCACAGAATGTTTTAAACATTCAGGGTGAAACTAACAGGCTCTCAGAGACTGAACGTTCTGGCCTAGACTTGAGACATTTCGATGAACTGAACAAGAATGATTTTATGCCGTTCCACTGGAGACACTGTTTTTTTTATAATGAGCAAAAAGGCAGATGCTGTTTAGAAGAGTGGAAGATTTTTAGTCAACTTTCAAGTCAAGTCACCTTTATTTGTATAGCGCTTTATACTTTTAAGAGTTTGTCAATAATGCAAGAAGACAATATGGAGACAATTTAATTCATAAATTGATGGGATTGAGGCTGCTTTTGTACAGTAGATGTGTTTTTGTTGTTGCTTGTTTTCTTAGTTTTTTTAAAGAGGTAAAATCATAAACGTTTAAGCAGTGCTTTAGGTTTATTCTAGTCAATGTTTAAGGCAGCAAAAACATTCATTATTTAAAGATATTATAGAATTATATTTAGAGCTACTTCAGTTGCATCAAAGTTGCAGTGCTGCACTGTAGCCAAAAACAGTCATGTCTACGGAGTACACAATGCAATAATCTCCTTATTGCAGGGTGATTTCTGCAGTCTTACTAATACTTTCAATATAATGAAAACATAAAGTAAATAAGAGACTCCTTGAGCAGTGTAAACTGTGTCATGGATTACAATAGGAGTTTTGGTGAAAATGCAGAAATCAAATCACGGATAGAATCATGCTGATCTTAAATTGACTTCTCCAGTAGTTATAAAGAAAATGTTCTTTGATCGCTTTCTGTATATAAACTAATTAGAATATAGATGAAAGAGAGTCTTCATTCTATTAACAGGAACAGTGTACAGTGCATATTACACGATCACAAGGTTATGATGGTCATCAAATCTGGGTGTTTCAGAAGGGTAGAAAAGAATAATTCATATTATATACTGTTCCTTTAAGAAGTCTTTGTTAACCCTGATTATTGATTGACTTTTAGCATGTGAAATGAGTCATAGCACTTACTCACAGGCTGCAGGTTTGCTGTTGGGTCCAGCAACAGGGTTGTGAAACGTTCTGAGCCTAAATGTGTTGTTTGAACTGTTAAGATCAGACTGACATGATCAGGGACCTTGTTAAAAATAATTTACTAATCTATTTTTTTTTTACGCACAGTATCTCACAGAAGTGAGTACACCCCTCACATTTTTGTAAATATTTTATTATATCTTTTCATGTGACAACACTGAAGAAATTACACTTTGCTACAATGTAAAGTAGTGAGTGTACAGCTTGTATAACAGTGTAAATTTGCTGACCCCTCAAATTAACTCAACACACAGCCATTAATGTCTAAACCGCTGGCCACAAAAGTGAGTACACCCCTAAGTGAAATTTGGACTTAGTGTCCAAATTGGGCCCAATTAGCCATTTTCTCTCCCCGGTGTCATGTGACTCATTGGTGTTACAAGGTCTCAGGTGTGTTAAATTTGGTGTTATCGCTCTCACTCTCTCATACTGGTCACTGGAAGTTCAACGTGGCACCTCATGGCAAAGAACTCTCTGAGGATCTGAAAAAGAGAATTGTTGCTCTAGATAAAGATGGCGTAGGCTATAAGAAGATTGCCAAGACCCTGAAACTGAGCTGCAGCACGGTGGCCAAGACCATACAGCGGTTTAACAGGACAGGTTCCACTCAGAACAGGCCTCGCCATGGTCGACCAAAGAAGTTGAGTGCACGTGCTCAGCGTTATATCCAGAGGTTGTGTTTGGGAAATAGACGTATGAGTGCTGGCAGCATCGCTGCAGAGGTTGAAGGGGTGGGGGGTCAGCCGCACACTGCATCAAATTGGTCTTCCCAGAAGGAAGCCTCTTCTAAAGATGATGCACAAGAAAGCCCGCAAACAGTTTGCTGAAGACAAGCAGACTAAGGACATGGATTACTGGAACCATGAATGCCAACATGTACTGTGACACACTGAAGCAGAGCATGATCCCTTCCCTTCGGAGACTGGGACGCAGGGCAGTATTCAAACATGATAACCCCCAAACATGCCTCCAAGACGACCACTGCCTTGCTAAAGAAGCTGAGGGTAAAGGTGATGATTGGCCGAGCATGTCTCCAGACCTAAACACTATTGAGCATCAAGGACTCTAACATCCACCAGCTCCGTGATGTCGTCATGGAGGAGTGGAAGAAGACTCCAGTGGCAACCTGTGAAGCTCTGGTGAACTCCATGCCCAAGAGGGTTAAGGCAGTGCTGGAAAATAATGGTGGCCACACAAAATATTGACACTTTGGGCCCAATTTGGACATTTTCACTTAGGGGTGTACTCCCTTTTGTGGCCAGCGGTTTAGACATTAATGGCTGTGTGTTGAGTTATTTTGAGGGGACAGCAAATTTACACTGTTATACAAGCTGTACACTCACTACTTTACATTGTAGCAAAGTGTAATTTCTTCAGTGTTGTCACATGAAAAGATATAATAAAATATTTACAAAAATGTGAGGGGTGTACTCTCTTCTGTGAGATACTGTATATACTTTCTCCCTGTCAGGAAGGGAGAGATGCAGTGTAAATGTGCCAGCCCAGTATACATTTAGTCTAGTGTAGTGTTTTTTTTTTCTTCTCGTGTGTGTTTTCATTCAAGCGAGAAAAAAAGTGGATTAAGCAGCGAGGTCACTGGAACATGTTGTGTCCAAGAGCAGATAATTGCCTCTTCTGAAGGGGAAGAGAGAAGACTGATTAGAGCTTGCTGCCAAACAGCAAGCTTTTCTCAGTTCTTTTTTCCCCATTTCTTCCATCTTGTCTTATTATTAGTGGCATCCGGGCAAGCAATACAATTGCTATTCTTAAACAAACTAACTAGCTAAAATTATATATATAATTTGTTCATTCATTCATTTATTGCTTTGTAACATTTTTACATTTACCCCCAAATTCTTTGGGGGACTGAATGCACTTTTGACAGTGTGCAATCAGAACTCCCTAGCAACTACATAGCAACACCCTGACAACCACCTACTACGTTTGAGACATGTATTGGCAATCATTTATACCTGTTGTAAGAGTCCGCTACCTCCCATTACCATCTCATCGGCCATTACTTTTGTTCTTTTTAGTTGCTCTCCTTGATTGCCTTATAGCGGCAGATGTCTTTAGAGAGGCGTATACAGTTCCTTTCAAGTGTTTCTGTACTGGGGTTTAAACCAAGAACAGAACTGCCATTAAACTTTAGTAGTGCACATTTTTATTCAACAGTGCATCTGTTGGGGGATTTAAGCAGAATATTATGCTAGTACTTGAAGTTTTATGTAATGTTTAAATTTTTTTTTTTTTTTTTTTATCTTTTCTAATTGGATGATTGGTTGTCAGCTTCAAAGTTCACTTGCCCTTAAAGTGATTTATTATGCAACTAGAATTTTTTTAGGAAGAAGTCAGACCCTGCTATTAGTGAAACCGGAGTTAGCTAAGGGAATGAAGACTTCAGCTCATCAATTGTCTAATATCCCCTTTACACAGGTCACACACTTTACACCCTTCAAGAGACGAGAGAACAAAAGTAGGGAGAAGGCTGAGTACTTAGAAGTGAGTCAGTGGGGACAGAGTTACTTTTTCTGTGCCGAAAGAGATGGAGTGATAATGTGAAAACGTGTGGATGGGGATGCTGGGAAGAAGAGAAATAGGTTGTTAAACTTGTCTTGCTGTGGTGAGGAAGTGTGGAGTACCAGACCTGAGAGAATAAGGTGGACGGGCAGAGGGTGGGAGAAAGAAATGGAGGACGAGGAGAGAGATGAAGAGAATTACAGATGTGTAGGCCAGATCTTTAGGCCATGAGAGGTTAATATGTGCAGGACCTGTCATTTTTTTCTCGTTTGTACTTTTTCCCCGCTCTCCCTCACTTGTACATTAATCTAAAGCCTTTGGCGCTCCCAGACACCTTTCCCTATTGCCCTAGTGTGTGTGTGTGTGTGTGTGAGAGCAGGTGAGGAGGTTTAGCATAGTCTTCTGAAGTCTTATGAATTGCTTATGAGTTATCTGTGTTATGTAAAATAGAAAATTCATTTGAATTACTGACACAAACATCATTGTTAAGCTGTTTTTTCCTCTATGACAGAATAACAATTGTCATTTACAAACCTGCATGTCAGCTACTATGGCAAAGTTATTTAGTGCATTTTTAAAATAAAGCTATTGGTGAGGCTGATGTTAGAAAGTGTTGATGTTTGTCTTGGAGCTTATAAAGGTGAATTCTAAAAGCAAATATTTACCAGTGCTTAAGTCACTGATGCGATGTAGCATGACTTCTCTGCTGTGTGATTGGCAGGTACTCAGACAGCACCACCGATGCGCTGGAGATGATGGATGATGATGACAAGATCAACCTGCAGCTTATCGTAGCATTGATCAGACACATCGTGATGAAAGAGGATGTGAGTGCTTTCCCTGTACGCCTGGCTGTTTTTTTTTTGGTGTGTATGTGTTTCCATGTGACTTGGCCAAATCATGGACAGATGGTGAGTCTCCTATAAAGCAGAAACATGTTGGCATGAAATATGTGCTAATAGGGCTGCTTAGCAGATCCTCTCCTCTCCTCTCCTCTCCTCTCCTCTCCTCTCTTTAACTGACATGACATGAACTCCCATTTCCCATGCTTCCCTTTATACCTCTGGGATTGTTTCTTTCTACAGTCAGCTCTTTTATGTGGAAAAATATAGGCACATGTGTCACATGATTGCAGAGATATGTCAGAGAGGGGGAGATAAAAGGCAGTTCTGTTTGGTATCTCTCTTTTGCAATACCACATTCACATACTTTTCATATCACTACATATTCGTACTCCGCATGAAAAAAAATAAATATGAGCTCTTTTTTAGGGGTATAAATGTAGGTTATAATATTTGAGTGAGAAATAGCACTCAAATATTATAACCTACTTTTATACCCCTAAAAAAGAGCTCATATTTATTTTTTTCCCTCTGTGGTGTACTTATAATGTCAGTCATGATTTAACTTAAAACCATTTCTATCATTGGCCCTTAGACTTAAATGGGCTGCTGTGCCTTTAAGGCACTGTCTCAAAAGGCATCATCAGCCCTTGTGGTTATCCTCCAAGTCACGCTTTGGTGACGTAAGCCAGTGCAGACCCATGGGGGCTTGTCAGCATGTCCTTGAGGGTGAATGTGTTATAAAAATGTACATTTGGGAGAGGCTTTCATTGGCTAATTATTTAATATAAATCAGCCTATGTCTTGGAGTGTGTTTTAAACGCTTGAATATCTTTATTTAAAAAAAAAAAAAAAGATATTTTTTTGGGAACAAATAGATGGTACTAAGGAGAAAAAGGAGACATTGCTGTAGGTTTCATGATGCCATTTATGAATATGTATTTAAAACAGACAATGGTTGTATAAATCAGAAATGATGCAAGGGAGGTATTCTTACCTTTTCATCTTTAATTTCTTTCTTCCTTGGAAAAAAATATAAATAAGGTTTGCTTTTGAGACTCTTACATTTATAAATGTATAACTTACTTCAGACAATATATTTGATCAAAATCGAATAGGAGTGATGCCATAACTACGGAGGACTAGGAGTGACACTTAAAAATAAAATGAATAAATGTAATAATTCAGGCATACAAATGGAAATAAATAAATCACTTTTTTTTAAATGGACACATTAATAGGCATATGTAGAACTGTACATTTAATTCATGTTTTAAAATGTATTTAGATCAAATAAATTTAATAAATCATATTTAAATTAAGAAGTTTTAAATGTCAATTTATTATTGAGGGTTTTGTTTCTGCCTGGATGGGACAACATCAGCACCCTGAATGATTTGCTCACGGCTGACCAGATTTTTAAGTCAGGTAGATATTTCAGTCTCTTAGTCACTTAGCCCCTGTTTGTAATATGAAGGTTTACCAGACACATTTTTGTAGTTGTACATTTCCTGGCCAAGTCTGAAATGAGTCATAACAGACATTACCTGAGCAGTTGAAGTAAATATGCCAAAAAACTGTTGTCAAAATCAAAATGTGGATGGTGATTGGTGAGCATTAGCCAAAAGGCTAAAATATTGATGATGACCATTTCAAACAAACTATTATTTTTGACAGGAAAAAAAAAAAAAATGTATAAAGAATACTATTTGCATATAGCGCATCAATTCTACATGGTAAATAAGCCTCTTGCTTTCTTTCTCTGTTTATGTACATTAAAGAAAAAGAGAGAGCACTTTAAGCCAGGCAACAGTGAGTGTTTGCAAACTAGAGTTCACGGTGCATCAGAGAATGCTGCAAATCCATTGATATCACTGGAAATAGTTTGTTGTAAAGACGGAAAGATAAAACATAGTTGTCATTTAGTTGCGTAGAATGAAATGTAGTGTGTTATATGCGAGTGATTTACTTGCAGTGTAGAGGGTTGGTTGTTATAGGAACATCAAAATGAATCTGATGTCACAGCTACATTTGTCTTTACTCAGAATTAACAACAAATACATATACGCTAGCAGCCACAGCATCTTGAAATCTCGGCTCTCTTTCAGATCGGTTTATCATCATCCCGCTCCACTCTTTGATGCCCACAGTGTCTCAGACTCAGGTAAGTGTAGACAGCTGTGGCAAGCTCTCTGCCTCCCACAACAGCTCACAAATGCGGTCTTTCCCTCTCATCTGACTGCTGAATTGAATTTGCTAAGCTCCATGTGAAGTCCAGCGCCTCAAACTTTCAATAGTGCTATTATGTTCTTGAATGACACTTTGCTTCTCTCTTCCCTCAGGTGTTCAAAAAGCCACCCCCGGGAGTGCGCAAGATTGTCATCGCTACCAACATCGCAGAAACCAGGTGGGGTTGAGTGTGTGTGTGTGTGTGTGTGTGCGCGCACATGATTGTACAAATGTTTTTCTCTGTGTGTATTGCTCTTTTCTGTCTCTTGTACTGTATGATGAATCTTTGTTGAGATTCAAATAACCATTTGTCAGTTTTGTGTGATAATGAATAATTAATACTGTGTTCGCTGTTGTTCTAGCTAGCGGCATCAGTATGCAAAAGTTGAAGCCATGCAATGGCTAAGGGGCAACAGAGCCAGCTAATTAAAATTAGCACACCGCTTTAAAACAGGCTTCAAGCATCATCTGTACAAACAAACTCAACAAAGAGTTGAAAGCAGCTGGAATTTGATGAGGTTTTATAAATAAATTCATTAGTGAATCTCTTTTTAATTGCGCTCAGTATCATCAGGCTCTTCTGCCGTTGAAATATTTGGTCTCTGGTAATAAACATCTCGGAGTCTATAATGGACTTTTATCAGCTATTAGAGATCTATTACAGTTATGTCAACTTTGTCGTCATATTTCATCTTATCGTATGGTTCTGAAAAGTTTGCATAAAGACAAGCTTAAACTGCAATCATGTTACGTTTATATGAATATTTAGGATTCAGTACATGTACAACTCTGTTGACAGCAGCATTGGCGTACTCGTTTAACCCTTAAATGCATGAATGTTTCGGCAGTCATTGTTACATATTCAAGTCTAGAATGTATATCTAACTAGCATGGATCTCTCTCTGTATACTTTGATGTATTATTATCATCACATCATTATTGTTTATTAGATACACCTTGAGGGGTAAAAGGTGAATTATATGTAAGACATCAGACAATCATTATTTTTGAGCACAAAAAATATCTATATATTTACACTACATACCTCCCTTCACTATATATATACAGTGGGTACGGAAAGTATTCAGACCCCCTTAAATTTTTCACTCTTTGTTATATTGCAGCCATTTGCTAAGATCATTTGTTACATTTTTTTCCCTCAATGTACACACAGCACCCCATATTGACAGAAAAACACAGAATTGTTGACATTTTTGCAGATTTATTCAAAAAGAAAAACTGAAATATCACATGGTCCTAAGTATTCAATTTTTTTTTTTCTAGTTATATTGTTGCTAATGAATAGATTGAGGGGATACAAAGAAGATGGAAGTCTAACTTGATGGATTACTTGCCGGGCTGTTAAAAAAAAGAACAGAAAAAAGAAACTCATTTAGTGCACAGTCACATTGAAATTTTGACCGTAGTGTAGCGCAAAGTAATGATCAGTTATAATTTTGAATGCAAACATGATTTTGTTCCTAAAATAATTTAAACTGATGAAACATGACCAGGGACATGACCAGTTTTTATTTCATGTCGTCTTTATAGGGTATTTTTTTTGTCCTCTACTTCTGTGATATCATTGTAATATTGTTGTAACATTTCTCTTACTTTCAATCCCTGTCTCTTTCAGTATCACAATAGATGATGTCGTGTATGTGATAGATGGAGGGAAGATAAAAGAAACTCATTTTGACACTCAGAACAATATCAGGACCATGACAGCAGAGTGGGTGAGCTTAGCCAATGCCAAACAGAGGAAGGGCCGTGCTGGCAGGTACAGATATGTCTCCCTCTCTCCCTCCCCTCATTCATCCTCTTTTATGTGTTATTCCCTCCATATATCAGCAGCTCTTCCTCAATCCATTCACAAGTATCAAAAAACATTTTCAGTCAGAGGAATTGCACCCTGTAGAAGAATGTCAAACCTCTCAGGATATATGAAGTGTATGCTTATATCACAGGAATGCTGTGGGATTGGTTTTTTTTTTTTTTCAAGCAGATCACACTATTTTTGGATTGGGCTTCTTTTACACAGTGATTAAATTAAAATGTATTTATTTTCAAATTAAATTAATCAAAGAAACAATATAATAATAGGGTTCGCGTCATCGCAATCCTGTATTACTTTCTTTTGTGGAACTAAAAAATGGCAGGTCTATGCTATACAACATTTAGTGAATCTTGACGCCTCTTTGTGACTAAAACCGCCAAAAAAAAAGGTGACAAACCATCAAAATTTTAGGGGTAGGTAAATCATTTTATTTTACAGCTATATATAGGGCTGACCGATAAACAATATCATATTGAGATTGCAAGTTTATATTGATAACCATGACAAGCTCTGGACATTTTTACTCAATATGCAATAAATGCGAAAACTGCCAGTCAGTGCGTGTTGCATGCTCTCTGTGTCTCTGTGTGAAAGTGTCGTAGTTTCGGTTACTAGTACTACTCAAACTCACTGACACTGTGTTTTCAGCATCTGCCTTCTCAATAAATAAGGACATGAACACATGAACCTCCTCTCCAGAGCTGTTCTGAGAGTCCACTTCACAAGCTTTTTACCTTACAACCGTACCATATTACTTTTCAGATACCAAACTACCATCAAATACAAACATAATCATACAGGTCACATGTTATTTTGAACAACATTAGGCAACATGAGTAAATAATGACAGAATTTCCATTTGGGGTCAAATATCCATTTGATGTGAACAAACCCCAATTAGTCTGAATCTAAAAACGTCCCCTTTTGTCTTCTCATTCATGTCTAGTATGTGTGTTCATGAAAGGTCTGTCTATCCTCTATCTCTGAGCCGAGACTGCTTTTCTCAAGGTTTCACTGTCTCTCTCTCTCTTTTTTTGAAGTCCACAGAGAGAGGAAAGATGTGGCCTTGAATAGCTTCATTGTTATCTCAGTCATTTGATAGGAAAGTGAAAAAAAAATCTTTCTTTTGGCTTTTCTTGAAGTTGAAGGCCACATACAGTATCTCATCTCAAATCCTGTTTGGCTCTCTCACTTTGTTCTATCTACTGTAAATGGATGATGCATTTGTGTATATGTAAAAATGTTTTTTGATTATGTTGTGTAGTTTGTTTTGAAATGGCAAACTAAACCGTTTTCAGGTATGTGTGTGAGTGAGGCAGTGTGCTTTTTTGTCTGGTGTCTGTGTTGAGGGTTAAATTGGCACAGTGACTCATGCTTTTTAGACAGTGAGTGCGTGTGTGTTTGTATGCATGTATGAAAGAGGGAGGGTAATAATAAGTCCGTCACTAGCTACTACATGAATCTACCCTGCTGCTCAGCACAGACTCTTGACACATCATTTCAATTTCATACTCAATCACAAACGCCCAGATGTATGCCCCCTCTCATTGTACCGGTGTATATCCGCACACTGACACGCACACAGCTCCGTTGCCACAGTAACTCCAAAGCTCTGCATTATTCATGGCAAAGCAAATTGACTTTCACATCAGCAAGGTTTGACTAGTCTTGCGTAGACTTTTACTGTTGGGATAAAGTTTGATCCACAATAGTAGCTTAGACTGGCCAAGATGCAGGAAAAAAGGCATAATGTTGCTTCCTGTCTACCTTTTTTTCCTTAGATTTTTTCCTTTCCTATGTGAGATTTGTGATTTCAAATGAAATGAAATGTTAATTAAATATAACAAAATACTTAGGATTTTAAACTAATGCAGTATGATTTGAATTTTAATGTAGAATATAGGTGAGTCACTTTAATGATATTGTCTGATAAATGAATAAATATAAGTATAAACAATAGGCCTGAATTCTCAAATACATTTAGCAAGTAGCAATTTGCATTCATCAAACAGACTTTTTTTAATGGAAGCAGTATGACATTGTTTCCTCTGTCTCGCTTTTTTTGTGTGTGTGTCTGGGCAGAGTGTCTCCTGGGAAATGCTATCACCTGTATAATGGACTGAGGGCCAGCCTTCTGGATAACTACCAGTTACCTGAGATCCAACGCACTCCACTGGAAGAGCTTTGCTTGCAAATAAAGGTATTCTATCAGACCCTCAGTCAGAGAAAGTGCATACTACATTCTCTAAAATGCATGGTTGAATTTCCTCTCAGAGATCAACTAACGTATCAATCGATCTAGCCATGTTTGAGTCACACTACACAGGTTTGGTGTCAGCAGTAGGTGTGCATACTGTTAAAATGCATAAGAATCATGCTTGTTGGCAATTCTCAGAGAGAGAGCTTCTCACTTCTGTGGTTGTAGGAAATTGGACTGAACATTTCCACTGCTCTAATGGGGCCTGGAGGCATAGGTTTCACAAATAGTCTCCGGTGACTGTAATAAGCGAGCACACAAAAAACTAATGGATTAAAAGGGGCATTAATCACTGTCATTGTATCTGAGAGCCAGTGTAATGTGTAACGAGGCCTTTTAGCTGTGTCAATTACTGCTTATTTTCACCTCCGCATGGCTGCCCAGTCCCTGTTCTCTGATGCTCAGCAGGGCTTCAGTGAATATTCACACTCATTTATGCACACAAAGGGTTGGGGTTCATCTTCTAATACTTATATAATAATTTGTATGTTTAGATTATGAGAAGTTTATATACATATAGTGTGGTCTATTTTTCTCTCTTTTTCTGTGTATCTATTCTATCTATTTTCTGTCAGATACTGAAGTTGGGACCAATTGCATCTTTCCTGCGAAAAACCATGGACCCCCCGGCAGACAAAGCGATCGAGCTGGCCATCACACACCTGGTGGACCTGGTGAGATGCTAAAGTGATGAAAGGGAAGAATAATTGATAAATTTAAGAAAGAAGTTGGATTAATAAATAAATAAGGGATAATTTACAGTCTGCCATTACCGTAAAATAAATTGGGTAGTCAGGAACCCAGCGTGAAGCAGCTACATGGCTACTTAACGAATAAATTAAATGGACATGAAAGATTACTTTGAGAGTTGCAAACTAGGTAAGGCGTAATCTAAAAGGATTATCGTGAAATAAACCCTGACGTGAAAGTTCCTGTGAACCACTTATTACCAATTCACAAAGTACATTCAACTCAAATCAATATTTCATGTTCATTTAATTAATGTAAGAGGAAAGACTGAAGAGTGCAAAAAGAGGCATGAAACACAGGGACATAGGAAATCAATAGCCTGAGACAATAGTCCATTATACCGTTATTATGCTAAATAATTTGACAGTGGCATGCTGTGATTGATCAGATTCAAGTAAAGCTGTGTAATTAAAAGGTGTAATGACTAAAATCAAAGTACCGTATTGGCCCGAATATAAGACGTCCCCCCTTTTTCCAGATGTACCTTTTGGAAAAAGCCTTTTTAAAAACCAAATCTTGTTTTTTCTCAGTAAAACACATTGTGTCTTCAATTATTTTCATATTGCATATTTTTCCTATTTTAATTTTTGTTTTGAAAGTATGGTAAAAACTGGTCAAATGTACCAACAATCACATTTAAAAAATATACACTTTTTGATATTCCATTAAAACAAACAAAAAAAACAGGTAGCCCATCTGAATTAGGACATTTAGGCTATCCATCTAATAGTAGCCTACCAAAATCTTATTAACAGAAGTAGTTAAATCTTACTGTAGTCTTCAAATCTGGGTACTGTCTTATGTTTTAAAATCACAAAGGGAGTTTGGTCCCATCAGGCTAACGTGACAGTCACGACTCTGTAAGGTTTTTTTTTCTTTTGTTTTTACTCGCAATCTTTAGAACACGCATTACGTTACGTATTTCATGGCACACTCGTTTTATGCATATTTGTCGCCACCTATTGTTGTGGGTGTATTCTTGACATGTCAAAGTCTAGACCCTGAATATAAGACGACCGCGTTTTTTCAGATGTATTTCCAAGAAAAAAACATCGTCTTATATTCAGGTCAATACAGTACTTTGCAGCAACACAGTATTTTTAAAAAAATGTCTGTTTGAAAATCCAACCTTTTCTCTTTTATATCTTGTAGAATGCCCTGGACCGGAATGAAGAGTTAACTCCATTAGGATTTCATCTCGCCCGCATGCCTGTAGAGCCTCACATAGGAAAAATGATTCTGTTCGGGGCTCTTCTGGGCTGTTTGGACCCTGTGCTTACCATTGCGGCCAGCCTTGGCTTTAAAGATCCCTTCTTCATACCACTGGTACAAACACACCCTTTTACATGAACACAAGCCCTACACCCACCAATCATCAATCCCCCAGAGCATTTAGAGCAAACCCAGAGGGCATTCTCTAATAAGGGCTTGTTTGACTGATGGATTCATTTATCTCAGGGAAAGGAGAAGATTGCGGACCAGAGGAGGAAAATCCTCTCCCTAAACTCTAGAAGTGATCATCTCACTATTGTCAATGCATTTTGGGTAAGCCCTAAAGAGTTTAGAGAGTCACTCTTAGATGTTAGGTGTGTGTGTGTGTGTGTGTATTCGTGACAATCTGTGTATTTATTTGGGGGTACACACCCTTTTACATGAACACAAGCCCTACACCCACCAATCATCAATCCCCCAGAGCATTTAGAGCAAACCCAGAGGGCATTCTCTAATAAGGGCTTGTTTGACTGATGGATTCATTTATCTCAGGGAAAGGAGAAGATTGCGGACCAGAGGAGGAAAATCCTCTCCCTAAACTCTAGAAGTGATCATCTCACTATTGTCAATGCATTTTGGGTAAGCCCTAAAGAGTTTAGAGAGTCACTCTTAGATGTTAGGTGTGTGTGTGTGTGTGTATTCGTGACAATCTGTGTATTTATTTGGGGGGTTTTTTTAGGGCTGGGAGGATGCTAAGAAAAAAGGCAGCAGGTTTGAGAAGGAATACTGCTGGGATAATTTCCTTTCTGCCAACACGCTACAGGTCAGTCTTCACTCTGCGCAAATCAAACATTAGTTAAACATAAAAGAGAAAATTAGACTCTTTAATATGCGCTTAATAAACAAAAACCCATTTTGCTCGTTCCTACCAGATGCTTCAAAATATGAAGGGTCAGTTTGCAGAGCATCTTTTGGCAGCTGGCTTTGTGAATAGTAAGGACCCTAAAGATCCCAGCTCTAACGTCAACTCGGGTAACTCTTACTTACTGTCCATCTAACTAACTATTTGTCCTTTATCCCAGCTGTCCACTTGTTCACACATCCGTCTGTCGTTTTGACTGCCATTACCACAGGCACGTTTAAAGGGATAGTTCACCCAAAAATGAAAATTCTGTCATTAATTTCTTCACCCTCATGTCGTTTCAAACCCGTAAGACCTTCGTTCATCTTCGGAACACAAATTAAGGTATTTTTAATGGAATCTGAGAGCTGTCTGACCCTGCATTGACTGCAATACAACTGAAATGTTCCCAAGTCCAGAGACGTAGCAAGGAGATGGGTAAAACAGTCCATGTGACTAATTAATGATTTCTGGGTGAACTAACCCTTTAAGGATTTGAGCAGTCTGAGTGTGCTGATATTGACAGCCTTGCTTTGAAAAGAGATGAGCTATAACTTTTCTAAACCAAAATAAAAACATAATGTTGACACAACATTGCTCCCCAAAAATGCATACAAATGTTTGATAACATTATTTAATGCATTTGGCATGTTCAGCTAACAAGTGTACAACCTTCTTTTTTTTTTTTTTAAACAGCGCTTACTGATCTAGGTTAATTAAAAAATTTTAATTGACTATTGTTCTTTGTTAATTTGTTCATAACTAATGTAAATTTATACAACTTGAAATGTTAGTATATGTAAAAAATAGCATTTATCTTGAGCAGCGACTAATTAATGATTTCTGGGTGAACTAACCCTTTAAGGATTTGAGCAGTCTGAGTGTGCTGATATTGACAGCCTTGCTTTGAAAAGAGATGAGCTATAACTTTTCTAAACCAAAATAAAAACATAATGTTGACACAACATTGCTCCCCAAAAATGCATACAAATGTTTGATAACATTATTTAATGCATTTGGCATGTTCAGCTAACAAGTGTACAACCTTCTTTTTTTTTTTTTAAACAGCGCTTACTGATCTAGGTTAATTAAAATTTTTTTATTGACTATTGTTCTTTGTTAATTTGTTCATAACTAATGTAAATTTATACAACTTGAAATGTTAGTATATGTAAAAAATAGCATTTATCTTGAGCAGCGGTTCTCAAACCTCTCCATGAATTACCCCCAGCACTGCACATTTTGTATGTCTCCCTATATCTGACACACCCACTTCAGGTCTTGCAGTCTCCACTAATGAGCTGATGAGCTGAATCAGGTGTGATAGATGAGGGAGACGTACAAAATGTGCAGTGCTGGGGGTACTCCAGGACCGGTTTGAGAACCACTGATCTAGAGTAATAAAAGCTGTTAAATTATGGTTAGTTCATGATACCTAATGCATTAAAAATGGTCATGAACTGAGCAGTTGAATTTTCCTTGATTTTTGACTATTTCAGAGGTCATTGTAGTATAAAATGCAGAATTCAAAATGCTATATCATACACCTTTATAATCACTGGACCTGACTCTTCTGCACTCTTGCTTAAAAACTCTACAGTCTACACTGCACAATTAATCTCTTATTTACATTGTGTCTGCACTGTGTTATGATTAAAGCATTTGTGAGAGTGCAGAAATCTAGTTGCAATGGCAAGATCACTGCAATCATGCGGCCAACAGACTGATTGGCTACTTCAGCCTTTTATGCAGTGAGAGTTGATTGAAATATAATGCTTTAATCAACACTTTTCACAATTTGCTATTACTATGTTTATGCTGCAGAGATTAGCTAAGTCTCTTTAAAGTCCTGAGTCATTTCACTTGACGGCCATCTTTAAAATCCCTTTCGGGCAGCTATTTCAGTCATGCAAGTATAGCTCCTATCTCTTTAAATAGGGAAACATCAAATTCTCCAAAGCTGTTCACCAAGCTTCTGAACCACTGCACCAATCAGCTGCAGTAACACAATGACTAATTAGCGATTGGCTCTTTTATTTAGAAGGCGGGGCTATTCCGCCGTATTGCGCCACATCTCCCATTCATAAGTAATTTGAGTGCACCGTCGTTGTATATCTAAAGTCTTTGGTAATAGTTGCTTAATATGCAAAGATGCTACCCAGTCATAGCAGTGGGCATTTACATGAAGGGGTGTGTGTCTCCTGCAGTGGTTAAATCAGAGGACTAACGCTTGGAATAAGGGTAGAAACTGGACCTTTTTTTAAATTATGACCATTTTTTGGTGTAAAAATTCCATTAACACTGTAAGTGCACCTCATGAAACATTGTAAAAAAAAATGTAATTCAATTTATGAACCCTTTAACTAATGTTAACTAATTGGTGGGCTCTTTTTACTTGACTAGTAAGCAGCCACCTATAAATGAACACCTCCAAACCACTTAGAAAACGTGCCGCCACATCTTTTTTTAAATTTTATTTCTAGCTCTGTTTTTCTCACTGCTCTGTGCTGTCCATGTTCCACTTCACATTTGTATATCTAACACAAGTAATGTTCTTCCTGCTACTTCAGCCTTTTATGCAGTGAGAGTTGATTGAAATATAATGCTTTAATCAACACTTTTCACAATTTGCTATTACTATGTTTATGCTGCAGAGATTAGCTAAGTCTCTTTAAAGTCCTGAGTCATTTCACTTGACGGCCATCTTTAAAATCCCTTTCGGGCAACTATTTCAGTCATGCAAGTATAGCTCCTATCTCTTTAAATAGGGAAACATCAAATTCTCCAAAGCTGTTCACCAAGCTTCTGAACCACTGCACCAATCAGCTGCAGTAACACAATGACTAATTAGCGATTGGCTCTTTTATTTAGAAGGCGGGGCTATTCCGCCGTATTGCGCCACATCTCCCATTCATAAGTAATTTGAGTGCACCGTCTTTGTATATCTAAAGTCTTTGGTAATAGTTGCTTAATATGCAAAGATGCTACCCAGTCATAGCAGTGGGCATTTACATGAAGGGGTGTGTGTCTCCTGCAGTGGTTAAATCAGAGGACTAACGCTTGGAATAAGGGTAGAAACTGGACCTTTTTTTAAATTATGACCATTTTTGGTGTAAAAATTCCATTAACACTGTAAGTGCACCTCATGAAACATTGTAAAAAAAAAATGTAATTCAATTTATGAACCCTTTAACTAATGTTAACTAATTGGTGGGCTCTTTTTACTTGACTAGTAAGCAGCCACCTATAAATGAACACCTCCAAACCACTTAGAAAACGTGCCGCCACATCTTTTTTTTAAATTTTATTTCTAGCTCTGTTTTTCTCACTGCTCTGTGTTGTCCATGTTCCACTTCACATTTGTATATCTAACACAAGTAATGTTCTTCCTTTTTTATGTTACTCAGAGAATGAGAAGCTGATTAAGGCTGTGATTGTAGCAGGTTTGTACCCTAAAGTGGCCAAGATTCGCCCCAACCATAGTAAGAAGAGACCAATGTAAGTGAATGGTATTTCTCCTATTGCTTGTGCTACTGTTTGTTTCTGATTATGTGGCCTCCATTCATCAGCTCATTGAAACACCTGAGCCCCAACTGAATACTTACTGACTGTCGCTGATGGCATTATTCCATTTAAGACATCTTCACAGACTTCTCTTGTGTGAGGTAAAGGGCAGAAAAGATGAAAAGCAATCTCGGATGATAGAAGCGGCATGAAAGACCTGTATGTGATAGTTATTATCAACCAAAGTCAGTAAAGAAACCTTGATTTGTTATGTTTTATCTTCTCGTTTTTAACACTGATATTGTGACTCGTTTTTGTCTGGCTCCGGTATTAGCCATGTCAGTGATGGTTTGAAGTTCTCATTGTTACAACGCTGAGGTGGTGTCCTCTAGTAAGGTGGCCAGTCCTGAAATTGTGAGCTTTGTCCCTGCATCCTGCAAAATGCAAGCAGTGTCCCGCATAGTTTCACTGAAGTTTCGTCTAGTTTCTCTGGTGCTAGATTGAAATATTCATGAGTTACCAGACCAGACTTTTGTCTCCGAGTTTAAAGTCTGCCAAATATTTATATTACAAATTAATAACGTTCAGAAATTTGAAAATGCATCAAGGCTGCATATGTAATTTATTCCTGTATTCCTTCTATTGTCATTGTTGAAAACAGGTGTGCTTTTTATTTATTTATTTTTTGGATTATGTGAAGAACAGAAAGTACAAAAGTATAGCATTTAGTTGACCCCTAAACTTGAACAGTAATCTAAAGCCCTATTCGCACGGGATTAGTATTACCTGGTGACCTCCAGTCATTTGTAATAATTGCGGAGGTTGTCTGTGATCTTAATCCCGTGCGAATTGGCCATGTCTGTAATTTGTAAAGTAAAATTCCCCCGCAAATGACCTACCATATTTCGCCGTACACCGAGGTCCTGTGATAATATTAGTCCCGTGTGAATCGGCATCTCTGTGATTTGGCCAGCATTTGGTGGGTCGTATATAATTTTTCGATGTTTTTGTTTCCTGTGTGCCTTTTTATCCATCTTCCGCGAAGAATGGAGCTGCGTTGGAGTGTTTGATAGTATTTTTGGTGCTGTCATCATATCGCTACACCATACAATTTGCAAAAAGAGAAAGCTGAAAAGGTTTTGACGTTAATGTGTTACAAATAAATCAAGCGTAAAGCTTGATATTATTTTAACCTGGTGAAATGTAAATGACACAGCACACGAAACTGTAATCTTTTTTTTTTTTTTTTTTTTTATCCATCTGGACTATAGAACGGGATTCTCAAAGCCTTGACATCCGGGTATCCGGGAGGCAAGTCAGTAAATTCGAGTAAAATCACAGGCGTCGCTTATCCCGTGCGAATGCACCACACGAAATTCAGATGTGGGGGGGTAATTTCAAAATCACACAAGGTCCCCAGATAACACTAATCCCGTGCGAATAGGGCTTAAGTCTGTGATCAGAAGTCCTGTACAAAAAAAGATTATTACAGTACAGAGCATTCAACCGCATTTCTACATACAAGTTCAGCTTACAAGTGGCAAGTTGGCAGGAACTCCTGTCATATTTTTATTTTATTTTTTTTCTCTCTTCTCCCCTGAGTGGTTTATTATTGTTTCTGTTATTTTAGATAAACCTGCCCCTAAACAGCACGTAAGACCAAAATGAACTATGGTTTGCTGCTTTACATATTGGTCAGATGGTCACTTCCTGTCTAAGTGGGCAGTTCAGGTTCAGAATAACATGCAAAGTGGACCAGACTGTATGCCAGTTGTCCAATTCAGCAAAAGTAATTCTAGAATAAAACTGCCCACATAGCCCCATTCCCGTCTATCTAAACAAGATGTAAAGTGACTTACTACAGTTTTTATTTTATTTTTAAGATACTTCGGCAGGGGCAAATCTGACAGCCCCAGTATAGATCCACATTTAAATGTTTAAACAATCTCTGAGAAGAAATGTCTGAAATTGTGTGTAGACTTTCAGTAAAGTCCATTGTTTGATCTGTAAAATGACATCATTTTTGAAAACTGAGTCTTGAAATTATGCTTTTGCAGGCCAGTGAAGGTTTACACTAAGGCTGATGGGAAAGTTTGTATCCACCCTAAATCTGTCAACGCAGAGGAAACTCAGTTCCACTACACATGGCTCATTTATCACCTGAAGATGAAGACCACCAGTGTACGTACATTTTTAATATGCCCCAAAGTGAGGTTGTCAACTTTAGCTAACAAAATTGTCCCCAATAAACTCACACACACACACACACTTATGCAGTGTTCATTCACTCATTTCAAAGGGAAGGACTACTGTATATAATTTTGTTGAAGAGCGAGAGAGGACGTGTGTTTGCAAATTAATGCTGCATCTAGTTTAAGTCCATCTTTTATTCAGTTTCTGTGTGCCTTTTAACCGACACCCTCTCAAAAGAGATCAAAGCTCCTTACTGAATCGAGGAGTACCATTTCTGGCATCTCTCTACTTGCTCAATGAGTCTCACACACGCACAGGTACAGTAATGCCTGTGGCTGTTTTTGCCAGAAAAAGGAATGAAACAACATTAACTTTGGCACTGTTCTGTCACATTGATGCAGATTGAGCAGTCCTGTTCTGTGCACCAGTGTCCGTAGGGTGAGACTTTAGCATGTTTGTCTTGTCCTTTTCTGAGAAAGTGTAGAGACGAATGTTAGAAATAGAGATTGAGACATCAACCTGTGCTAACACTATAGTCAATACCATATATAGTCATCTTTGGTTCTTTTCAAATTATAACAATTTGTACTATTATTTCATGCTCATGTATTTAATTGGTTGGTCTGTAACTCAGGGTTCAGAGTCCTGATCAACCCTGACTGTGACAGAACATTATTGCTTAATTTTTTACGTCTTTGCATAGGCTTTCTTTCTCAGCAGTTGCGACGCTCCTGCATACCGATGCAGGAAACTCTGGGAGAGTGAAGAAAATTACATGTAAAAAGAAGAGAAAGATTTTCAAGAGCGTGACAAGGGAGGTGCCTGACGCAAAGTGGCAGATAGTAAGATTGAAGCGTTGGAGAAAGAAATAGTGTGAATGAAATCTGAATAAACCAGCGTATGGAGAGATTGAGGAAAGGGGCAGAATGAGACTCTAGAGTGTGACAGTCAGATTGAAAGCTAAAAGGTTTGTGTGAAGATTGATTCACGAAAGTGAATTGAGGTGAACTGAATTTTAATGTCTGCATTTGGTTCTTGTCCTCGTCTCACATCAGTCTTTTTTCCTCGTTCACTCTCACTCTCTAAAGACACTGTGTCTGGTCAGAACTGACTATGTCCACAGCGCTGACCTGTGAAACCTCCCCACTTTGTGAACCTGTGCGGCCCCTACGCTCCTGATTAGGACTTAGTGATGTGTTAAGCCAATAAAGAGGCAAGAAGAGCCAAAGACAAGCTTTTCTTCCTCTCTCTTTTCACACACATTTACACTATTCTGTTTCTGTGTGGATGTAAAAGTATTGCTCTGCCGCGGGACAGGGTGACATTTTCACTCACACATTCTGTCTCTCCACTCACTGCCTTATGAAACAGTACATTTAAAGACTGAGACAGCCTTAAGAAATCTCAGGATTGTAGGAGTGGTTTATTTTTGCTTTTGCATGTGCCTTTTCATGCGCCTTTTCATGCATCGATTCAATTTGTTTGTTGTTTGTGCATTGGACTAGTTTTACAAAATAGTGGTCAGTAACATGAGTTTAATTGGTTCCATTTCTTACTCCCATTGCCTCTTCATTTACATAAACAAACTGCCAAAAAAAAGGACTAAAATAAAGAACCATACAAGGGTCTTGAAATTTCAACAATGTGATAAATTGAAGTAGTGCTGAAAAAAAGGTTTCTACTTCAAACAGTATTTGTGGAACGCTTATAAAAGATCTCTTTATAAAGGCATGAACAAGTTTCTCCAAGTCTTGACTGGAAACAAAACCTCTAATTCTTGCAATGTTTTTGAGATGATAGTATGCTGATTTAGTTACTGCTTTGACATGACTACTGAAACTAAGGTCTGTCTCCAGAATCACTTTTCGCATTTTAAATTCGATTTATAACTAAATTTAAATCATTTAAGACTTATTAGGGCCCCCTAGTTTGGAATCATTTCTTTAAGGCTTGTTAATACCAGAATTGATTTTCTGTGTGAAAATGTGGTGCATTTTAATTGCTCATGACCAAATTCACTTTAAATCAGGGTTTCCGGGGGGGTCTTAAAAAGTCTTAAATTTAGTTGTATCAAATGTAAGGCCTTAAAAAGTCTTAAATTGTACAATAAAGTCTTAATTAGGATTTCAAGAGGTCCTAAATTTGGGTATGGAAAGACCAGAATTGCGATATGGCTGAATGTGAATATGTGATGATTAAACTTCAAAAAAGGCTACGATTTCATTAAAGGGTTAGTTCACCCAAAAATGAAAATTCTGTCATTAATTACTCACCCTCATGTCGTTCCAAACCTGTAAGACCTCCGTTCATCTTCGGAACACAAATTAAAATATTTTTGATGGAATCTGACAGCTCTCTGACCCTCCCATAGACAGCAAGGGTCCTTACACGATCAACGTCCAGAAACGTAGCAAGGAGATCGGTAAAATAATCCATGTGTCATCAGGGTTCACCCGTAATTTTTACGAAGCTACGAGAATACTTTTTGTGCGCAAAAGAATAAAAAATAAACTTTATTTAACAATTTGTCTCCTCCGTGTCACCCTGTAGCACCATTTTGGAGAGTATGCTGGAGCTGTCAGATTCCATCAAAAATATCTTAATTTGTGTTCCGAAAATGAATGGAGGTCTTACGAGTCTGGAATGACATGAGGGTGAGTAATACATTTTTGGGTGAACTAACCCTTTAAATAAACATGATATTTCAACCAAACGCGCCACCTGCTGGCAGAGAATAAGCATTTTTAAAAAGCCTGTTGTTTTGTTCAGAGTTGACCAATGCGAAAAATCGGCCAATGTTTTTACCGTGCAAACATGCAGAGCTTTAAATATGAACTGGTGGATCGATAAGACGACAATGCATTATAAAAATCTAAACAGTAGGGTGTGCGATATATATGGTCTGCGATAATATCGTAATTGTTGTTTTAGCAATGTGCGATTCGACATTACCGAGTATATCGCAAAAAGCAAACAAAACACACCTACAGAGTGCACAGTCTGCACACATACATTAGGTGATGAAGTCAGTTAATATGTAGGTTAAACTAGTGCGCGCATTTAGAGTGCATTCTTTCACTACATGAATCGGTCTATTAAAATGCATTTAGAATTATCACAATTCAAGATATGGGGGCAGAAAATGTATATATTTATATAATTTCATATAGTTAATATCACACAAAGAGTGCCCTTTTTTTCTCCAAAAGTCAACAATTACAAATGTGATATTGATTTTATACAACTCATGATATTCATGAACTCATGAATGTGATATTGATTTTATACAGTTCAATAAACAATAAGTTAAAGGGGTCCTATTATGTTCTTTTACAATGTCTTAAATTTGTTTTGGGGGTGTACTAGAACATGCTCTAATGCTTGGTGGTTCGAAAAACGTATTATATTTTACATGATTTACATTATTACAATACCTTTCTCCCCAGTCTGGCACAAACAGCTCGATTAGTTCCGGTTTTGATGAACGCCTGCCTTCCGAAAAACGAAATGTGATGTGATTGGTTAGCTGTCCCAGTGTGTTGTGATTGGCGAACAGCTTAGACGGTGTTTCAGTACTGCCCCGCCCCTTGCCAAAGCAGCAAATTTAGTTAAGGATGGCGTCAATAATGCCATATCAATTTGAACCGGATTCAGACCCAGAGAATATTGAACAAGAGGATCGCGCAGAACCTTTGCACGCATGGATATTGCAAGACATATTAGAGTGGTGACGTTATTGTTGTTGTTTTTTTTGGTTAAATCACATTTTAGATAGTAAATGCAGTTATTTTTAAGCGGTTGTTGACATCCTATGTACAGATAAGTGCATATGTATTATTTTTATTGTTATTTAATTCGAAAATTATAACATGAATCACAGTGAAGCTGTTATACAGTTGAATTTATTTATACCATAGTCAAGTGTTTCCCAGGCGGCATATATAATGCAAACTCATTCTCTGCCAGCAGGAGGCGCTGTTGGAGTGGTAGCAATCAAGGTTTCCCCTGTAAAGGCTGTACAACACAAAGCAGCACGCTCCCGTCAAAAAAAATTAATGAAAATTACATCCAATTTTCTGAAGACAGTCGGTTTCCTTCAGAAATACAGTGATATAAAAACACCCACACTCAATGTATGGGAAACATAATTTAAGTGTGCAAACTCATTCTCTGCCAGCAGGAGGCGCTGTTGGAGTGGTAGCAATCAAGGTTTCCCCTGTAAAGGCTGTACAACACAAAGCAGCACGCTCCCGTCAAAAAAAATTAATGAAAATTACATCCAATTTTCTGAAGACAGTCGGTTTCCTTCAGAAATACAGTGATATAAAAACACCCACACTCAATGTATGGGAAACATAATTTAAGTGTAAATTCGGCAGATTACATCATTGTCCAGTATTGTACTGTCAGCAATTTATTATAAAAAGTTTTTATAATTGTAACACATATTTACATACATAATTATTCAGGTGCATGTGCAATAACTTGCGAAAACGAGAGGCTACAACAGCACTTCTTCATTGTTGTCTTGTCTGATGCACTCAACCAAGCATTCTAACCACAACCTCATGACATCCAATTTTCTGTAGACAGTCGGTTTCCTTCAGAAATACAGTGATATAAAAACACTCAATCAATGGGAAACACTGTACACTGTAACGTTACGAAATTGTAACATACATATTTACATACATAATTATTCAGGTGCATGTGTAATAACTTGCGAAAACTTGAGGCTACAGCAGCACTTCTTCATCGTCCTCTTGTCTTATGCACTCAACCAAGCGTTCTAACCACGACCTTGCCCCTCCCCACGCCCCAACCATTCGAATTTCCTTAGGCAGGAATTATTTTAATGATATTATAATGAGCCGCTTTGGGATATCACAAAACCCGGAAAACAAATGCTGTAGTCCAAACGAGCCATTCAGGGTAGTTCTTGAAAAGGGATTTAAAAAAAACCTAAATATCTCTCTTTGGAGTGGACTTTGTGATTTGTAAGTTTGAAGATCTTTTTTATGCCCAAACATACACACTACACACTGACTAAAATTCAAAAAGTGAAAAGGCATAATAGGACCCCTTTAAGAGACTCACGTTTTAGACACCGTATTTCCTGCTTTTGCTCTATTTCGCCAACAAAAAACAGCACTGTTTTGAGTCTCTCAGCAACATTGATCATGTGTTTCCTTCCTGAATGAATCAAGCGTTTAAATGATTCGGTTCAATTGCAATGACTCAATTATTAACAGTGACTTGCTGCCACCTACTGGCAGTTTTAATTTCACATTTAAAGTATCTTTTCATTTTTTTTTAAATAATTTCAAACATCAGTTTTCAATGTTTTATGTTTAAAATATCAAAACCTTATTCATGCATTTGTAACTGCAGGTTAAAGTATTCCATGTCCCTCTGAGCTGCATTAAACAGTGTGTAAATACATCTAAATGCCACTTAAGATGCAGCTTCTGTGTTTCCTCTCCATTGCAAAGATACATTTTGTTGATACTGATTTCATTTGCTTGGTAATAGCCCAAATGCAAGAATTTGAAAAGTTGTTGCACACTTTTAGAGAAAAATGGCTTAAAGGTAAAAAT